ACTGATGGCAATAATTCTGATTTTTGAAAAATTACAGTAGTTCCATTCTCAACAAGATATACATGTAAGCCTCCCTAAAACTGTAAATCCTACCTGTACTTACTGACTCTGTAACACAAAAGATTAAGAAACTTGTCACATAAACTTCAGAAAAAGTAAAGTGTAAGGCCTGAAAAGTAGCACATTGTGTTCTAGGCCACATTTACAAAACCGAAATGTTGAGAGTGGGCACTTCAAAAACTTTCTCTGTCTAACCTGACATCCTGTACTAGAGCATCTAATAGAGTAAGAAAAGCTTAACCTAATGGGAAATTAGAATCAAGGGTAACATGAAGAGAAGCATACTACTTAGGAGCACTGCTAAAAAAAGCTATTAGTCATACATACCAGTGTTAGGTGTGAACAATCCCATATTGAAATGTATTGAAAATAACATTTCCTTTATTTTTGCTAACAATCAACATTAGCATTGACGTTTCCTACGAATTATAATAGTATATAATAAAAATAAATAGGTACACACACACACACACATCTGACTTTTGTTGCAGTTTGAATTCTCAGTTTGCCAAAGTTTATTATCAATAGAAAGAGGGGAGCACCTGCTCCCACATTTGCTGCTAATGCTGAGAGAAGAGATGAGCCTGAAGTTATCCTTTGCCTTTTTTCCCAGGGATTAATTATCCCTCCCCCAACACCATGCCTGCTCTGTGGTTACCCAGGGGGTTAGGGATCCTGCCTTTTCTAAGGAAGAAATTCTTCTCTATACCCTTAGCAACCAAATTTGGGTCAGAACACAAAACTGAAAGCCTGAAGTAGTTGAAGTAAACAAAAGCAAAGCAAAAGAATGTACTTGTAGATATTTTTAAAAAGCAGTTACCCATAAAACTGAAGGAGTATACACATACGGACTCTTATCATGTTAGATGGGGATGGGAGAATATATTCATTAGGGGAAAATATTGAGAAAGAAAAAATAGCTCTTTACCTTTCTACTTTAGTAAAACAGCAGAAGCAAATCACCTATACACAGTGAACAATTTGGGAATCAGAGATGGGATCTCAAGATAATTAATCTACTCTATATGAAATCCCCACACTGTCTTCTAAGAAGGAGAAAAAATAAAGACCAGACCAAACCTGTTATATCATAAATACAGATCACATAACTTTTACCTGGCAGTGACAACTTAAAATTTTATAAGGCATTATTTATTCAATAACATCTTACATTCTCCAATATCTTTTTATTTGCTGGACAAACGTCATTCACATGGTCTTGGGGTCAGTGGAAGAAATATTTACCTGGTCAAACTTAAGTATCTTAAGATTTATCATCTACCAGACCAACTGAGCTAAGCAATTATGGTGGGGAGGGGGGGGCAGAAAAGATACAGAACTGAGAGTCAGGGAAGTTATTTCTAATCCTCCCTTTGTCCTGATAACTGTCTGGTCCAAGTCATATCACTTCAATAACATGGTATTTCCATATTTCTAAAATGAAGCCAAACTATACCACTTCTACCTCTAAAATGTTTATCAAGTTTCATTTCTAGTTCTCATCACTTTTAAAAAATATATTTCTATCAAAGTAATACATGCATCAAGTTTCATTTCTAGTTCTCATCACTTTTAAAAAATATATTTCTGGGCCCTCCCTGGTGGCGCAGCGGGTTAAGGCACAGCACTGAGAATCTAAAGCCGCTTCCGCATGAGTTCGATTCCCGCCTGCCCCGGAGGTGACCACATGGTGTGGCAGACCTCTTCTGGCCCACCCGCTGCTCCCCTCAGCAGTGTACTTCGTCGATCTGCCTGTTCTGCTCCCCGCTGTCTCTGGTGAAGCCTCTTGCCGCCCCTGAGCCTCTGGCCTGTACCCCAGTTCTGTATGCACAAATAAATAAATCTTTAAAATATATATATATATATTTCTATCAAAGTAATGCATGCACAAGACTACTTTCTAAAGGCTGTCTGTAAGATTAAAAGGTCAATATAAAAATTTTCCTGCCTCATTCATGGATAAGATACAAAGAGAAGAAAAAGTCTTGTTTGTATGAGAGAAACCAAGAGATGATAGTGCATTACCCTTTTATTTTCTTTTAATTAACTAGAATTCCTGTTAGCCAGATTCTGAAATTCCTTCAAAGTCATTTTTATGTTCAAGTCAGGCTGATTCTACACTATGCTCCTTTCTATTATTTCTTTCATATCCAAAATGCCTTCTGACTTGAATGTATTACCACAATTTGAAAAAAGATAGTTTTCACTTACTACTATTAATCATCAGATTTAATTAAGTTTGTCTTTACTTCAATGATTGAATTTTTAATATATGGGTAAATAATAAGATTGCTGAGTATTAAACAAAATGCACGAAAGCATGGTAACGAGCATTAAAGAAAGCGTTCAATGAAGAAAAAACAATTCTGTGTTTTAAAGATATGACAATTAAACACCTCACTCCATAATTATCAGCACATTCTCTATAACAGATGCAAATGAAAATAACGCAATTATAATATTTAAACCAATAACTGCTAAGTACTATTTTAAAAATCCAACTCAAGTCAAGATATGTTGATTAATTTACTATGTGCCAAGTACTATGAAGCTAGGGCTCCAAAATTCAATGATTAAGATAAATGACCCATCCTCAAAAAGCTCAAATCTAGAAGAAACAAATAAAGATTATAATGTTATCAAAAATATAATAAAAGCATGTACAAGGAGCAGTATATGCTCCTTGAGGATGAAAAAAGTAATTCATTCTTAAAAAGGTAATGAAGAAATTGCTAAAGCAGTCTGGTAAAGGGGAAGGAGTAGTTCTCCAGGCAAAGACCTAAGTTTCAGTTTCAAGTCACTTACTGGTTATATGATTTGGGACAACTTAATTTACATTTCTCACATTCTTTGTAAATCTACTTTGAAATATTGTATGTAACATGCCTGACATGTTGCAAGCACTCAACTAACAGCTGTCTTGTTTTAGAAGTTGTATTTGTTTTCAGTAGACAAAATTCTAAATTTTGCACTGTAGGGAGCATCTCTTGGCTAGTGATTAAGCTACAAATGGGATCATTAATGTCACCACCTGGAGAAGAGCACAATGAGCTACATCAGAATGTCACCACCTTTTGGTCCACTTTTTAGAAATAATATGGTTGCTAGTATGTGTACACTCACCTCCCGTTGCAGATTTCTAATCTATTTCTTACTCCATTTTCACACTGACAACAGAATTTTACAGACTCAGACTCTAGTCATTTCCTGTAAGAGATTCCCAATTACTTCAGTCAAAGTTCTAGGTATTCACATGTCCTTTATAAAATAGCAAACTTGGGCTGATGTGAAACTGGTGATTAAGATTATATTCGGAGATAATCAGAACCTTGATTTGAAACTATTATCAACTTAATAGCTGACTTGTGAAACTGGAAGTCACTATACTAATTAGAATTTTAAAGTGAAATTATAAAAATATTACTAAACCTGGCCAAGGGGTAAATTATGTTTATTCTATGTTTCCAAAAGCTAATATTGGGATATATTCAGTAACGAGTTAAGAAGATCATTAACATATACAAATAATATTCTCGAATCCTTACTTTTCGTTTCACTCCAATAAACACCGCTCATAATATATTTGAAATATAAGAGCTGATAAATACAAGCAAAGTCATAAGATAATCTATCTCTAAATTCAATTAAATCATCGTCTCTTGTAGTTTCTAGAACTAAAAACATTTTCCTGACCTGCAACCACCATCATGTTAAGATCAATTAAAAAACCACAGATTAAAAATGAGTAAGATGAATCAATCCAGAATCTGTTAACTTTGTTAGTTTCTATATTCAAGAAAGGGGAATCTTTAAAGTTACCTTCAGGGTATGTAATTTCACCATTTTCTTCATTATGAATATCCGAATTCCACACATGCCAGTTTTTTATATCACATATATACAATGATATGTAAATATGTTGTATATACACACGTGTGCCTTGTCAAGACAGGATATATTTTTAAAATACTTTCTTAATCAACTCGACATAGTGTATTTTGAAATATCAACATTCTGTTACATCATAAGTAAGCTTCTAAGTTTTTTTCTCTTCAGAAACAGGTAATGAGAAGTCACCAAATTGCAACTGAATCTTTTGCAAAAATAATCTTTTCAAAACTCAAAGTTTTTGAATTAACGAGTTTTTCACGAAGCAAATCTACAGACTCCATAAAAGCATGAATATTACTGCTCACTTTTACAACTACAAATTGCTATTCATTTTTAAAATGAGTAAGTACAACCCCCTTCGTATAGCCTCGGAGAAAAAAGGGAAACAGGCAAAAATATCAAATGACAGACGCTGCAGCCTGAGGCCAGAGAGACCTAAGGAAATAGGAGAGGAAAGAGATACAGTGGTCACAGCTAAAATGCTCAAGAATTCACTAGACCTTGGCCATCTCGCCCCACTATAATCTCCTTCATTAGACGTCTATAGGCAGAAAAATAAACAGTTGAAACAAACAGATAACTGTGAGCAGAGATTTTAAGCCTGGCATTTAGTTTGAGATTTGCCAAAGAGCAAAAAAGCTAACCCAGAAAGAAAAAAAAAAAAGATGCAAGCAGCAAGCGGTGCGTGCGTGTGCGCGCTAGAGGATGGGGGATAAATAAGGGCTGTGCCGTCTGCTCACTAACGCTGCCCGGTGCGCACTACAGTGCAGAGCAGCCCGGAGCCTCCCGGGCTGAGCAGAGCAGGGCAGGGTAGGGGATGGGGGTCGTGGACACTGCCGAAGCCCACCGCGCCTCGGAGCGCAGGCGCCCAGTGACCAGAAGCGAGAGGATGCAATTAACACCTTGGGGCTGGGACCCGGGCGGGACCGGGAGTGGAGCCCGGACCGGACTGCAGATCGCGAGCGGGCGGGGTGGGGGGGTGGGGGAGATGAAGGCAAGGGGCGGCGCCGCATCCCCATCCCCATCTCCACGCCGGGCGCACCAATTACCGGTGAGGTTCCTCAGCACCGTCCCGTGGGCCCAGAGGCTCAGAACCTGCTGCACGGACAGGTTGATCATGGAGTTGTCGCTCCCCTCCGCCTTCATCTTCCCCGGGGGGCGCCCGCCGCCCTCTCCTCGGGCGCCCGGCGGCAGCGGCGGCGGCGGCGCGGAGCAGC